TCAAATAGACAAACCTCTCCTGTTCTTTCCTGTCCTCTCTTGTCCTCTCCTCTGCTGTTGGAACTGGAAATGTTGGCATGGTGGCTTCACTGTAATCAGATATGACTTTACAGGAAGTAGCTTCAAGAGTATCTGGTGATGGGGACAAAGCTGTTTTGTTCACTGAAATCCTCAGGGCTGCTTTTAGCAAACAAGACACCATCACATGGCCATAGGCCTAGAGGAAACAGGTGAGGAGTCGTTTCTCACCTCTGACCCCAGGAGAGGTCCCTTCATGTGTCACAGGCCACCGGAGGTTCTCTATGGTCATCCTTTCCATAGTCTAGTCTCTGTGTGTGACTCTAGCTAGACTCCAGACCCACCCCTCTGGGCTTCCTGTAACCTTTAAGTTTTTCCCAGAAGGAACGATCATACTACCTAGATCCCTCATCTGAAGGCTGATGGACCTTCGTCCTCTTGGGTTCTTTGTTACATTTAACCTAAACTCCTTTTGCTATAAATTATGAAAGGTCAGGTAAGGTCTAGAGATAGCCAACACCGGCAAAAGAATAACCTGTGGAGACCATCCGGATGCACACCATGAATCCTAAAAACAAAATCAAGCCACCAGCCCAGACTCCCTCTCAGATAAGCATAAGGAGGAGGCTTGGCTATGTGCAAGGAGCTGGACTCTGCAGAATCCCAGGCCTGGGAGCAGTCTGTGCTCCTTCTCCTTTTAAGGCAAGGTCTGAGCTCCCAGGGCTGAGCTTGCTCCAACACGCCACAGCCCCATTCATTCCTGGCTATTTGGAGGAAAGCAGTGATTAATCAACCTTTCCCCACCCCCACCCCCTCAGCCTGGTTTACATTTGGTTCTTTTTAAAGGGTTGGCACACACCTCTTGGTAGATCTCAGTCAACCTAGACCCCAGGTCAGGGGTATAACTGGAGGCATGGCAGCTGGTGTCTGATAAGGTCAAAGGTCAGGATGTGAGAGGTCTGGGAAGAGAAGTTAAAATGTAAAGATCAAGTCTTACTTAGGGGGTTCTGAGTTAGGGGTTGCGGATGGGGTGATCTGTGAGGCTCTGTAGGTGGTGTGGCACTCCGGCAAGAGGTGTATGGGGCAGGCAGGAAATACTCTTGTATTGACTTGATGGTGGCTATTGAGATGACAGTTGGGCCTGAGCTCCAGACTGCGTAAGCCTGCCCAGTCCAGCTGGTTATCCTCTCTGTGGAGCTCAGCCTCCCTTGAAGGCAAGCCTGTGACCTGAGCAGTTTGGGCGTCTGGAGACGTGTTTGAGCAGTGAACAGTAGCTGGGCAAATCTGGGGAACAGAGAGAGAAAAGAAGGTAGTAGGCTCTGTCCCAAGTCAGAGCTCCAGAGCTTTGCTCAAGGCATTGTCTGAGCTAGCCCTCTCCACCACGTTCCTGCAATGAAAGGAAGGTGTTAGGGCCCAGTGAGGTGGGATGGGCGGAGTGATTCCCCGGCTAACCTAAGGAGGTCCCTTATAAAGGAGCCCTAAATGGAAAGCTGCCCCAGGTAATCTGATGGGCCAGACTCAGCTCCCTGGGAGCCAGAGTGAGAGAAAAGGGGCTCTGTTCACCATGCTGCTCCAGTGACACACAGTACAGCTGTATTCCCTGGGCTTAAGGTAGAAAGGGGCACAGTCCAAGGCCCTGTCTCCCAAGCCTCCAACCCTTGCCTGCCTATTGTGATTATGGGAAGAAAATAAAACAAAACAAAACAAAAACCTTGGCTGGTCCTTACAAGGGTGTTTACAATGCAGGCAAAACCTCTTCTCTATCCCCTCTGGGAAGGGTGGGAGTAAAGAAGGACTGCATGGCCAGAGAGTGCCATGGACTGTTGCTCCTCCAACCCTGCCTCTCCCTCTTCCTACACTCTATTGTCACACCTGAAAGAAAGAAGCCCTTCTTGATCTCTTTATAGTAAAAAAGAAAAAAAGTGCAGGAAAAGATCTCACACGCATCCCTTAGTGACACAGTTGCTCCTGACTCTCCATCTTACATCCAGTCAAACGGCCTGTGTCATCTACTGCTCCCTCTGCTTCTCCTGTAGGGACGAGAGGCAAGCACTCTGAAATGGGCATAGACTTGCAGAGGAAAGAAGAGGGCTCTGTGTAGGTGCTGGGTGGCCTGTGTAGGTGCTGGGTGGCCTGTGCTGCCTGGAACACTCAAGTCTCTACCACCTGAAGCTGATTCCATCTCAGGGCCTCTCCAGACAACATCGCAGCATCTGTAATCAGAGTAGGGAGTCACAGAGTCCTAGATCCTAACTGTGGTAGGCTGCCCTTAGTGGTTTCCAGGGCTCTGCACAGAGAGAAACTTGTCCCTGGCAAAGCTGCTGCTCTTCCTTCTCCTCCTCCTCTTCCTCCTCCTCCTCCTCCTCCTCCTCCTCCTCCTCCTCCTCCTCCTCCTCTTCCTCCTTTTCCTCTTCCTTCTCCTCCTTTTCCTCTCCCTCCTCCTCCTTTTCCTCTCCCTCCTCCTCCTTTTCCTCCTCCTCCTTCTTCTTTGGATAGGATTTCACTATGTAGCTCTAGCTAGCCTGGAACTCACTACATAACCAGTCTCAAACCAGTCTCAAACTCCCAAGAGATTTGATTGCCTCTGTCTCCCTAGTACTAAAATTAGAGGCATGTGGCACCATGCTTGGCCCTATCAAAATCCTTACTAAACAATAAAGATGACAAAACTGTGGACTGTTAAGGAAGACACACAGTTGATGGAACAGTTCACCTCTATTATGTCTGCCTAATTAATTAGTTCCTTTTTTAAGGATGTGTGTGTATGTATGTATGATGCATGTATGTATCCATGTATGTACATATGTATGTATGTATATGCATATATGTTCATTCAGTGGTACAGAGAATAGAAATTAGAAATATCCTTGGTTGGTAAAATAAAATATTACCAACTCTATCTTGATCATTCCAACATTTTCTCCTTTTGCAAATGTATTGGCTTCAGCTGAGGGTGTAGCTCCGTGGTAGGTGTACTTGCCTATCATGTTTTGATCCTTAGTATAGGTTTGATCCTTAGTAACACACACACACACACACACACACACACACACACACACACCACACTTTTAAAAGTCATTATCCGAAGCCCTTGACTCCCCCAGGGGACAGGCTGGATTAGACAGAAGGATATGAAACACTCATTATGAATGCAGAATGAATGCAAGGGGTGCCAGACACTCAAGGAGTCAGCTAACTGACATTTTAATGTATCTAATGTGTTGTAATTAGTGTGTGTGTGCTTGTGAGTGCACACATGAGTATGCACACACATGCTCAGAGGACAACTTTTAGGAACTGGTTTTCTTCACCATGGGATCTAGGGATCAAAAAATCACCAGGCTTGCATGGTGAGTGCCTTTGCCTCTGAGCCATCTTACCGCCTTCTTTAATGTATATTACAACATAAACTTGGAGCTAGAGAAAGGTTAGTAGCTAAGAGCTCTTGGTGCTCTTGGCCAGGCAGGCATGGTGGTGAACACCTTTAATCCTAACACTTGGGAGGCAGAGGCAGGTGGATCTCTGTGAGTTTGAGGCCAGTCTGGCCTACATAGCAAGTTCCAGGACAGCCAGAGCTACAGAGTGAGCTGTCTCAACATCCAACCCCCACCCCTTTCCAAAAACAAAAAACCAAAGGGCACTGGCTGTTCTTACAAAGTACCCAGGCTGGGTTCCCAGCACCCACATGGGTACTCACAACCTTGTGTGACTCTACTTCCAAGGCTTTCTTCTGCCCTCTGTGGGAACTGCAGGCATGTGGTGTACATATAAGCGTGCAGGCAAACACACATATGTTTGTTTGTTGCTTTTTTTTCTTTTCATTTTGTTTTTCTCATTGTTTTCATTTGGTTTTGTTGTTGTTGTTGTTTTTGAGACAAGGTTTCTGTGTGTATCCCTGACTGTCCTGGAACTCACTCTGTAGATCAGGCTGGCCTCAGATCCACCTGCCTCTGCCTCCTAAGTGCTGGGATTAAAGGTGTGTGACACCATTGCCCAGCATAAATAAGTCTTTTATAAAATATTTTTATGGTATCTTATGTGTATAGGCATTTTGCCTGCGTGTATATCTGGATACCACTTGCATGCCTGGTATCCAAGGAGACCAAAGGAGGGCATCTGAAGTAACACGCGGTTGTTAGATTCCATGTGGGTGCTGGGAATTGAACCTGGGCTTTCTTTTTTTGTTTGTTTGTTTGTTTGTTTGTTTCAAGACAGGGTTTCTCTGTGTAGCCCTGGCTGTCCTGGAACTCACTCTGTAGACCAGGCTAGCCTCGAACTCTCGAACTCAGAAATCCGCCTGCCCAACCTGGGCTTTCTTAATCCCTGAGCCATCTGTCCAGCCCAACAAGTCTTAAAAAAAAAAGATAAATGCAAACAAACTATAGTGATAAGCATTTAACACTATAAACAGGATATTAAACAGGACAGTAGTTTTCTGGCAAAAGTGGTTTTCCTCAGTTTACCATGTGTGTACCAGGAAACTAAATTTTCACCCATGACTGAAAAGGTCTAAGATGCTCTGTGGAGGAGCTGATATCTGCAGGTTTTTAGGTGCACATGGCCCAAATCTAAGGCCATGAGTCTGATGTCAGTCTGCTCTCTTTTTTTTTTTTTAAAAGATTTATTTATTTTATTATGAGTACACTGTAGCTATCTTCAGACACACCAGAAGAGGACATCGAATCTCATTATGGATGGTTGTGAGCCACCATGTGGTTGCTGGGATTTGAACTCAGGACCTCTGGAAGAGCAGTCAGTGCTCTTAACCGCTGAGCCATCTCTCCAGCCCGTCAGTCTGCTCTCTTGAGGCCAGAACTCAGTCCTACCTCTACAGAACTCAACCCAGGAAGGCCACCGATCTTCCCCAAATTAAATGTCCTTCAGAAGGGCACTTAGACAAGCCCTCTCTGGCTGGTCCATGCATGCACTCCCTCCCTCTGTGGCCAGTTCTGCATGTTTATTTTTCTTTTCTGAATTCTTAGGAAAGCAAGCAAGTGGGAAAGAAGACAGATGCCAAGAACGGAGAGGAGAAGGACAGTGATGCCAGCAGAAAGGCCCTAGACTCCAGACAGGAGTCAAACCTGGGCAAGGAGCCGAAGAAGGGTGTTTTAAAGAAAAGCTTCTCCAGGGATCGAGAGGAGACCGATGGTGGCAGAGGGGGTGAGAAGCCCAAGGAGGAGAAGGTCATCAGGGGTATTGACAAGGGCAGGGTCAGGGCTGCGGTGGACAAGAAGGAGGCTGGGAAGGATGGCAGAGAAGAAAGAGCAGCCTCCATGAGGAAGGAAGAAGAGAGGACAGAGAATGTCAGGAACGCAGGCTTGAGCAGAGACAAAGACAAGAAGAAAGAGGAGGTGAAGCCAACAGCAGAGAGCAGGAACATAGTTGGGAGCCGGGAGGACGGGAGGCTGAAAGAGTCAAGTGAGAACAAGAAACCAGAGGATGAGGGCATAGGCTGTGGGGGCAGAGACTCGAGAAAGGAGGATGAGAAAGTTAAGAACGAAGAAAATCAACCTGATAAGGGAGTCAGGGAAGAGAGCAAGCCCAAAGCTCCAGAGAAGCAGCCCCCCAGTGGTCCCAGCAAGCCCTCTGATGGGCAAGCCAGAGCAGAAGAGGAAGCAGCTCCCAGTATATTTGATGAACCTCTGGAGAAAGTGAAGAGCAACGACCCAGAGATGACCGAGGTGAACGTCAACAACTCAGACTGCATCACCAACGAAATCCTAGTCCGCTTTACTGAGGCCTTGGAGTTCAATACTGTGGTGAAGGTGTTTGCCTTGGCCAATACGCGGGCTGACGACCATGTGGCCTTTGCCATTGCCATCATGCTGAAGGCCAATAAGACCATCACCAGCCTCAACCTGGACTCCAATCACATCACTGGCAAAGGCATCTTGGCCATCTTCCGGGCCCTCCTCCAGAACAATACGCTGACAGAGCTGCGATTTCACAACCAGAGGCACATCTGTGGGGGCAAGACTGAGATGGAGATTGCCAAGCTGCTCAAGGAGAACACCACCCTGCTCAAGCTGGGCTATCATTTTGAGCTGGCTGGACCCCGGATGACTGTTACCAATCTGCTGAGCCGAAACATGGACAAGCAGCGACAGAAACGGCTGCAAGAGCAAAAGCAGGCCCAGGAAGCCAGTGGAGAGAAGAAGGACCGGCTGGAGGTACCCAAAGTCGGGACTCTGGCCAAGGGCTCCCCCAAACCTTCACCCCAGACATCTCCAAAGCCCGCTCCAAAGAACTCACCCAAGAAAGCAGGTGTTCCAGCAGCCCCGCCTCCTCCTCCCCCTCCACTGGCCCCACCCCTTATCATGGAGAATCTAAAGAACTCACTCTCGCCAGCTACCCAGAGGAAGATGGGAGACAAAGTGCTCCCTGCCCAGGAGAAAAACTCACGTGACCAGCTCCTGGCTGCTATCCGTTCCAGCAACCTTAAACAGCTGAAGAAGGTAAGTGGTGGTGGACTTGGCTAGGGGGCTGGGGACAGTCCTAGGCTTGTAGGAGAAGGCAGGGTACAGAGAGAACACACACAGAGGAGCCCATGTCAGGCTGCAGGGCCTCAGACTCCTAGGGCCTGTCAGCCATCCAGCCTCCAACAGGCCATTTCATCTCTCTTAGAAGGAAGGTCTTTTGCTTTCTTTAATGCTCCCAGTTCTCTGCCTTCTCTGCCTGGAGTGAAACCCGCCTCCCCAAGGAAAGGAGACGTGACCTCTATATATGCAAGGCTGCCATAGGTCCTGGGCATGTGGCCTTTGTTTTTTTTTTTGTTTTGTTTTGTTTTTTTTGTTTTTTTTCATCATTCTTCAACGGAACAGACTTTAACTGGTAGTTCTTTTAACTACCAGTGCCCTGGACACAGGACTGTCTCTTGATTCTCACATCCTGGCCTCCCTGCAAGTCCCACATGAGTGACAGAGCCCAGAATCATTTGGCTTCCCTCACCAGCATTTGTGACTAAAGACTAAAGCATAAAGGGAAGTCAGCTGTGATCCAGAGGCTGCTTACTGACATCTGGCTTTCACAGAAAGGAAAAATGTTCCCTTGCAGCCAATGCCACATACATTCACCCCACAGACACATCCTGAGGTGTTCGCACAGTGTCCTTTTGCAGGGAAGGAAAGTGAGTTAAACTCTAGGATACCATGTTGGACTCCCTGAGCTAACCCATCTCTGCTTTGCCTTACAGGTAGAGGTGCCCAAGCTGCTTCAATAGGACAGGCAGCCAGGCACTGGTAAATGCCACGACTGTCTAGACTCTTGTCCCAGGGCTACACAGACCCCCGCCACCCCACCCTGGCTGAGCTGTTGCAGCTGTCCCTATCCACCATGGGAGAGCTCGAGACCTGGGCCATGCTCGAGGGAGGACACCTCATCTCTTCTCCCTTTCCTTTTCTTGTCTCTGAGGCTCTTCAAAAATTGCTTTGAAACCTGGAGCTGAAGTATTGGGACAAGAGGAGTTCTTTACGCACGTCACAGAGAGAAGATGGCACTGCCCAGAGCCCATGTAGCAGGCATGCTGCCAAAGGCTTATGATGCAGAAAAGATGTCTCCCAGGGACCACATATGGACCCCCAGCCTCACTGCCTCCAGGGCCAGGATTCAGGCCTCTGAGGAGCCCTTGGGGCAAAGTTGCTGGGCCAGTGGCACTCTATGGGACAGTGGTAGAAGGACGGAGGACATGGGAGTCCAAAGGCAGAGCAAGAGGGCTGGGGATGCTACAAACCTCCATCTGATATGCCTGGGCAGCGGGCATGGTTGGACAGTGCCTGAGAGAGGGTGGGCTCCAGTTGGGAGTAGAAAGACAGATAGGCGCGGCAGCTGGACCTGAAGGGTTGATGCCAAAGCAGATGTTTTTTTCACATCACCTGCTGCTGTATAAATAGCTATATATCTGTTTTTCCATAAGATTTTGATAATATATACAAACCTTTAGCTGCAAGTGGCTGTACCTCACCTTTTTCATGTGTTAATGGTCCTAATGTTCACCCAGGTTCCCTAGAAGGCCTCCAGAAGCTCAGGGTCCCTGCCAAACCATTCAAGGTGATCGTAGACATCATCCTTAGAGTCCATGTACTGCAGAAAGGGCAGTATGGGGGAAAGCTTGAACTCTTGAGACAAACTCCTGACCTGGGGTTCCAGGTCTGTTCCTCAGTCAGTCTCTCTGCCTCATATGTGTGCCCAGAGCTGTCCTCAGGGGCAGAGAGTCACACAGGGCCTTGGGATGGCTATATTAGGCACGTTCAGGGATGATCATTCCGTGACTCTTCCTACTGTAGGCGTGGGGCCAGTGCTTCACACTAGTTACAGGCCAAGGAAGGCTGAGTGAGTCAGAGTGACTCAGGGAGGAGAGCTCCTACACCAGTGTGACTTATGGTCGGAGGTACCTCTCACCCCCAGCACGCCCCCGCTGGAGACAGAGCCATCACTGGGGGTACATGGAATGCTGTTCCAACTAGGGATGAAACTCAGGGTCAGGTCCCATGCCTAGCATGGAGACCTTGGTTTCCATCCCTGACATGATCTCTTTCTGGCTTACTGGCCTGAAGATAACTGTGCCACCATGAAACTGCCATCTTGGTTCTGGGTCACAGACAAGTTCTCTGCCTTTTTTTTTCTTTCTCTTTCTATTTCTTTCTCTCTCTCTCTCTTTTTTTCCTTCAGTAGCAGAGAGCAAAGCCATTGGAATATGGGTGGGGTCCCACTTCCCTAAGGAAGTAGGATAGCTGTTGTAGGTCTGGCTATAATCAGAGAGGGCCAACCCATATCCCAGGATACACTCTGATCCCATTCCTTCCCAACCCATCTTCTACTGCTTAAGTAATGGGCTGGCCCAGGGGAGGAGAGATACCAGCACTGGTTCCCAGGTCTCAAAGAGTGGGATTTGGAGCCAAGCCCACGAGCTTGCATCTGATGGTACAGAGCACTAGCTAGATGTTTAAAGCTGCTTCTGCTTACCTTCCAGCTCTGTGATGTGAAGCCAATGGCCTCACTGGTTTGTAGATAGAATTAATCACCTGCACATGCGTACATGGCTAATAAGAGACAGGACTGAGACCTTTACTCCTCTCTGCTGCTGAAAAATGGACCAGTGATAGTTTTTCACAATGTCATTGGAAGCCAAACAGAACTAGTGGTGTGTGTGTATGTGTGTGTGTGTGTAATTTCCTCTTCTCTATGTAGTCCTGGCTAACTTAGAACTCCTAATGTAGAGCAGGCTAACTTCAAACTCACAAAGATCTGTTTGCCTCTGCGTGGATGAAAGGTATGTGCTACCACACCAGGCCAATCTCCAGACTTAAAAACTCCTTTAGAACCTTTCACCTTTGCTTTTTTGGTTTTTGTTTGTTTGTTTGTATGTTTACTTAACTGGAAACACGATTTAGGCGGGGATGGAGGACTGGGGCACACACTCCCCAACTCTCCGCCACCCAGAGCCCATTAGGCTTGGGATGACATAATCATTTCTAAGTGCGTTTAAACCTGATGTGGGAGCGCAGCGCCACCTCGAGGAAAACTGTGTCCCAGGCTCTTCTGCTCTTCAGCAGCCTAAAGCTTGGACTTGGGGCTGGCTGCAGAGGTCAGAGGAGAAGACTGGAGAAGGGAAACGGACGCCTGCCCCACCCTACGCGACGGTCGGTGCCGGGCCCGGCCGAGGTGCGGGGCGGATGCTTGAGCTCAGAACTCGAGGGATTCGCAGAAGCCTTTCGGCTCCGCGAGTTCTGCGGTCCGACTGAGGCACCTGAACCCGGAGTCACGGGTCTAGCGGGTTTTAACTTTCTAAAACCAAGGAAGGCCAAAACTAGTAATAGAGAAGATCTATCCCCATCGATCGCCTACGTTTTACAAGGGGGCGGGGCAGGGGCGGAGTGGAGAGGTTCAAAGAAAGCAAATGATTCATTAAAGTTAATGAATCCAGATTCAACTCCAGCCCCCAACCCCTTGTGTGGGAGAAGCAACACCTGACCTCAGCCTTTTCCAGCATCCTCTTCAGCATCCGTCTCCTCTGTTCTTTCCGAGGTTCCATTGCATGTCTACTGCCCCCAAACCGAGAAGTTCTTCCTCCTGCTCTCGTTTTGCTCCACTTTCCCTGGCCAGAGTGGGGACCTAGGGCAGGCCTAGGACCAGGGTCTGTATGGCACGTGGGCACGAGCGATTGGCTGGGCTTTTATATCCCACTTTGACACTGGAACTCAACATATGATAAGCTATGGCAATCAAAGGGCTCCGGTCTCAGGGCCGAGCGGGGAACTCCACGCTTACTTGGCCACTGATCTGGACATGGGCCACTCACTCACCAAGCTTTTCTGGAAAACCAAGTTCTTTTGTCGCCATCTGGAGGACCAAACACAACCTTCACCCCTGATAGCAGATGCTATGCAGCTGAAATCAACCTGGAAGTCAGGCGCCAGGGGTGCTGCATTCATTGGGAGGCCAGTCAGGAAAAAAAAAAAAAAAAAAAAAAAAAAAAAGCCTTCTCCCCTCTGTAACTCCCTCCGTCAGGTCTCCTCCCCTCTTCCTTCCCTCCCCCTCCTCCCCTCTTGGCCAGAAGTGACTTTTTTGTCCAGGTGCCTCCCTTCTAGTTAAACATCCTTCTTCCTCCCTTTCTTACTTAACTTTCCCTTGGCCCTGCTGTATTCCCATGTTGTCTTTCCCCTAGCCCTCTCCCCTCCCAGCATCCAAACTCCTGGGAGCTCTGCCACCTGTACCCCTGACAGACACACCTAAGCAGGGCCATGTTTATCTAGGTTTGTGTGTGCTTCAGCTGAGAAGCAAGCCTGGGACCTCATACAGTGTATATGCCATTTTATCTATCTATCTATCTATCTATCTATCTATCTATCTATCTATCCATCCATCCATCATATAAAAGCACCCCTTCTCTTCAACTAGATTCCTATACCAGCCTTGAGGCTGTTCAGTGTCTCCTCAATTACATCACTGGGGCCCCCTAGTTCTTCAGGGCCAATGTCCCTCCCCCACCAGCTCTCCTTCTCTTTCTGACATGTCTGTGGTTTTCAGGATTGCTAAGTGATAGAAAGGGGCAAACATAGCCCTTTAGGCTCCCCCAGGTCTTGCTGGGTTCTGTTTACTCTCCAATGAGACACACACAGGGAGATGGGATGTTATCCTCGCTGAAAAATCTCCAGTATGTGCTGGGACTCTGCAGCTCACTGCCCCTCAAACACTGGAATGCTTCTTTCTTCTTAGAATTCTTATTTCCAGTGCTTTACTGCATTAACTGGAAACAGCCCTTCTCCACCTGCAGCTCTGGCTGGTGTAAACCTCCCATCCTACACTACAAAGCAACTTGTCATAGGTCCCAGATTGCTGACTCAAAGGCAATGAATTCTGTTACATACATTAACATCATTCCTATACCCACATTCCGAAACAGTATCCTGTACCTCTCCCCCTCTCGGCTCCCAGGTAGAGATGGTTTTCTGAAGTGTGATGGAAGAACCAAAGGTGTAATACCAGCTCCATCACTTCCTCCTACCCTCAAAGAGAAAGTAAATTTGCCACTGTGGGCCAAGGCTTGTCCCCAGGAGCATCAGCTGCCCCTCTGTGACAAGGTTAAGGTTCAGGGGGTAAATTCATGTACCCCTTGATTTCACTGAGGAGTGGGAGGCTGTGAATTCACTCTGGGGCAGACCCCTCCTCTAGGGAGTCTGTGACTCAGGCCCCAAGGTTCCAATTTCTGGGCTATGTGATCTGAGGTAAGGCCCCCTGGGTATGTGGCTACAGAGGGCCCTGGGGACCCCGTGAGGACAATGGCCCTGCCTGGAATCTAGGAGGCTGCTGGAAGCCAGAAACTTGAGGGTGCACTGGGCTAGATTTCCTGAGGGTGAATTTAAAAAAAAAGGCTGAATTTAGAGAACTGGAAGCAGGGGCATTGGATAAGTTGGCATTTCTCTGCTTGAATCAAAACTATTAAAAATGGTCTTGGGTGAGTCTTAGAAGCAGGGCACTTAGCTATTACGTCTGATGAAGCTCCCATAGACCATCCCAGCATCCCCAAACCTCAAAACTTCCTGCATCTGTCACCAGATATCTTGAGAGCACAAAGACTATGACTTTAAGGATCAGAGCAAGGGAAGATAGGCATTCAGCTCTGTGTATCTACTGATACTCCCAGGTCACCTCTTCTAGGTAGCCTTCACAGTCCTTATACCTAGCTTCTGTGGACTGGGACATTGGCCTGTAGGACCTGACACCTTAGCATCCCATGAGGATCAACCAGTTGACAGGAGCACCTTACACCAGTCTGTTGGGTGACCACACACATCTCTGCACTTGTCTGAGAGTCCTGGGCCTCCGATCAGGAAGGGAGAATGGACTCACAATTTTAATTCTATCATATGTCATCCTCCTGACAGCTATTATCCACATTCTATACATGGAGACATCCAGAAGCATGCTCAAGGTCAGACAGTGAAGAGACCCGAATTTGAATGTAAGTGTTCTTTGATGGAGAGGTGCCTTTATATAGCTGGTAATACCTTGGATGTTTCAGAGGCCTGGCCCTAAAAAGCACGTGAGCACCTTCTTTCCAGCTGCCACAAACCTGTCAACAGCTTTGGGAAACAGTGCAGGGATGCTCAGGGGTTCTGACTGGGACAGGGCTGACGGTGGTGCTCTTCTCTCACTGGTGCTGCCCTCTCCTGCTGTGGGGTGTGGAGCAGGCAGCAGTCTGGGTTCAGCAGAAGGCAGGGTTAAAGAAGGGGCCAATGATTCCACTGGGGAGTTATATCATTACAGCTTTAATCCAGGAGGCCTGAGCTCCGGCCAATAGGGCAGCCAGAGGGAAGGGCTGTGGCCAGCTGTTGATAGAGCCCCCCACTTGTCTCCACCTCAGCCCAAACTCGGCAAATAGGAGGGTCCTCACCTTTCTGATAGGGGTCCTGGGAGCAGAGGGACTACTTGAAAACAGAGACTGTGACCCAGGTTCTCATCTTACTCCCAGTCTCCCAGCAAAAATAGCTCATGAATCCCATGCCCTCCCTATCCACCCCTCATCCACGGCCTGGTTCCAGCTCAGCTCACGTTCCACTTCTCTGGGGCTCTGTCCTCAGCAGGGCCCAAGGCTTGGCTTGACCTGGGGCCTGGTGACTAGAAGACCCATGCCCACCCTCAGGGCTAGAGGCAGATACAGGATAGGGAATCTCCCAAAAACTCGGCATCATGGAAGGGACGGCAGAGCCACAGCTGTCTCTTCAGGGTCCTGGGTAAGAGGGCTGTGGAGGCATATAGGGGGGAGGAGCTGAAAACCAAGGAGACAGGATGAGGGTCAGTGGGACACAGGAAGGCAGGAAGTATTCTCCCCCCTCCATGGTGTGCAGCTTCCCCGGAAAGAAATGCCTAGAAGTTTCCAAAGAGACATGGAAGGAGCCTGGGGAAGGTAATCTACCAGCAAAAGAAGTAAGGGAGGTCCTGGAGCAAGAAGCGGGGACAAGAAGGAACAAGGATTCCAGGTTGTGCACTTACCTGCAGGGTTGTAGATTGGAGGCCCAGCTGGGTAGAGAGGATACTGAGGAGCAGGACCACTAGGTGGGTACATGAAACCAGGCTGGGGAGGTGCAGGACCAGCTTTGGGGTCTGAGGGATACTGGTATACTGGCTGCATTGGGATGCCTGTCATAGGAATCTCCTGGCCTAGAGAAGGGACAAGAAACACTGAAGCACTGAAACATCCGGCTCCCATGGAAACCTCCTCCCATCCAGGGAACCAAGGCAAGCACTCTGGCAACTGCCTGGCAGACTGCTGAGTGGCCACTTGTGGCCTTTGCTTCTCAAAGCCCACTTGCCCAGAGTTGAGCAGGTCAGTCTGTGGTCACCAAGTTTGTTCCCCGCAGCAGGTTTGAGAGCCCCCAGGAGTCAGTGTAGCCTGGGAAAGTCCAGCTCCAGATGCTGGTATCTTGTAATCCAACACAGCTACCACTAAGGGAGTCCTCTTCCAGTCCTCCCCTCACGCTGATCTCCTGTATGGTGTCATCATCCCCATGTTTATCAGGCTTGGGTAGTTACATGCAACACTCAAACACACATCTGAAGTACTGGAACATACCCAGTTAATGTTCACTAGGACAGACCCCACCTCATATACTCAGCCACAGGCATGCTTCTACCTACTGCACACTTACCACAAATGGATGCATTCCTGCACATGACCGAAGGGTCATGTACACGCACATACAAGGGGACAATAACTTGTTCCCATACATTCCTGGACAGTCTAATGCTCAAGGGTTCACTTGCACACATTTCCAGGTGGCAAGGTTCAGGCACACAGAAACATCCACTTCTATAGAATTCACCAATCTTTGATCCCTTTGGTGCCCATTACAGGAATCAATCCAGCCCAGTTCAGACTCATCTTGTCTGACTCTGTGCATACCTTCAAATGTGCTCTGGAGCTGCTGGCGCCTTCGGTATAGGTAACAACACGAACAGAGGAAGCAGCAGATGGTGGTGGCAACCACAGCAACAAAGAGGATGACAGCAGAGGCGATGCCTGCTATGGTCTTGGGACTTTAGACAAAAAACAGGTCCTCTTACCTTCCAACACTCATAGAGGGACTCCTCATTGTGCTGGCTCCAACTCTTGGCCAGCAGGGAGCCACAGCATGCTAAGACGTGGGGTTCCCTGTGGGATTAATTCTGCCCACCCTGTTTAGTAGCTCTAAGAGACCTCTACTTCCCAGAAGGCTATGCTGTCTGGGTAGCTAGCATGAGGCATGCTGGGATTTGTAGTGTGCCCACCTACCCCTGCTTTAATATCTACCATTTAATTGGCTAGGTTTAAAGTATGTTGGCCTCAAAGGAGCCTTTGAAATAATGTAGGGCCATTATCATCAAATGTCACAAGAACTTGCAATTCCCTTATATCAGTTTTATATGTTTGCAGCTCCCTTTAAAAACTTTGAAACTGCTGGGCATTGGTGGCGCACGTCTTTAATCCCAGCACTTGGGAGGCAGAGGCAGGTGGATTTCTGAGTTCGATGCCAGCCTGGTCTACAGAGTGAGTTTCAGAACAGCCAGGGCTACACAGAGAAACCCTGTCTCGAAAAACAAAAAAAAAACAAAAAACAAAACAAAGTCTCACTTTGTAGCCCAGACTGGTATGGAACTCCTTAGTGATGATCCTCCTGCCTCAGCCTTCTGAATGCTGGGATTACAGGTGTGAGCCACCAGGCCTGGCTAGCAACTTCCATATTATTTAAAAAGGTAACATCGAGAGCAAGTGTCTTAGCTAGATCACAGTGCTAGTAAGAAGTCAGCCTGGAAACAAAACCCACGTCTTCCTGCCCTCTCACCAGAGCGACCACCAAGACACTCTGCAGTTTGAGTGTTAACTCAGCACACTCCCGCCCAGGACCTGTCAGGATCCAGAAAGCCCCTGGAAACAGCCCAGGCAAGCCCATGGTAACTAACACCAACCACCCAGCTTTGTCACCATTTGGAGTCCTGGTGACTCCTTCAGTTAAGAATGTGGAGGTGGGCATTGGAGCCAGCAGGAGGCCTCTTGAGAGGGGGTGGAGTGGGAGTCCGCAGCCCACCTGAAGGCCAGGCAGTGTTTCTGCTGTCTCTCGGTGATGAGTAAAGTCAGGTCCCTGCAGCAGTACCGCTGGTAGCAGGTCCCGCAGCAGAAGGTGAAGAACTCGCAGTCAAATCCCGGATGCCAGGAGCCATTCCGGTCCAGATACCACAAGCAGTCTTCACTCGCCAGCGCTGCGGGCAGGGGTGGGGGTGCCCAGTGGACACCAGTCCAATTCAGTTCTGGCCACCCTCAACCCCACTGCCTTGGGAAGCTGAAAGCTCACTTTTGTTTCCATCCTAAGCTAGAAGTCCTAGAAGCCCCTCTCTCCCTGAAGCTGAACTCCGCGCCTGGGGGTCAGGTTCCCACTGCCTGACCTCTCAGCGCCCTTTCTTCTTGCTCCAGGAACAACGGCAAGCATCTGGGGCGCATGGACAGCCGGAGGATAGCCTCTGAGGACACGGCTGGTCCCTTTAACCTCTCCCTGATCCCGCCCCACCCCACCCATCTCGTGTCGCTCTCCATCCCTTACCCAGAGGAGCCCCAAGCACCAGCAGGACGACGGCAGCGAGTGGCGCGGTCCCGCTGGGCCCCGCGGGCGGCATGGCGAGAGGGGGCTGGGCGCGGCCAGGACGGCCTGGAAAAGGGGCCGCAGGACAAAGCTGGACGAAGCCGGCCGGCGGGAGCTGCAGCACCGCCCAGCCCGCGGCCAGGCTCTGGCTCCTCTCCCGCCTTCTTGGGGCGGGACTAACGCCCCGCCTGCAGTAACCCTGCCTGGGCCCCGCCCAGGGGTCTGCCCACCAGCGACGCCCACCCAGCCTCAGCATCGGCCTGGTACCCCTCACCCCAAGGCACAGCCCTGCTCTCCCTGTCCACAACAGTGCGGTGACTCCTTCAGTCTGAGTCCTTAAGGGCACAGCCAACAACTGGGCACTGCGGTCAGGAAGGTCTGGCAGTACCCTGTGCCCGCCCCTCTCCTGAGACCAGTGATTATCCCAGACCCCAGAAACACTGATCCTGGTGCCACCTCCTAATGACCAGCTCATGGGCCAATTCTGGAGGGCCAGGGCCGCACCTTCCCTTGTGGGGGACCTCCTCTGCTCTGGTGTCCAGTCTTGGACGTCCTGCAGGGGGAGGATGGGGCAGTGTCACCCTGCCCCCATTCCTAGAAACAGGCATCCATTGAGAGGAAGTTCAGAGAAGCTTTGTCCCCATCGGTGCCCACAGGCCTGGGCCCTGGCAGCTGCACTGGCTCCCTGAGATGGCCCCTTCTCCCTCTGAATAGACAGTTCCCACTATAGCCTGACTCCTCACCGGTAGGGGTGGCCCCGGCCACTTGAGACACAGCCAGCTAAACACTTTACAGTGGAAACTCTTTTTCCTCATGGAACAAGCTTGCAAAAATACCACATAAGCTAGCAGAATCAGCAGTTAGTTACAGGTGGAAAGTCTCGAGGTAGAAAGTCAACGTACCTTTACAAACTCATGTGGAGTTGATACAGGACTTGGAGTCAGAGTCTGGGCTCCAATAAGCCAGGTTTAGCCATTCCTCCTCAATAAGACAATTAAAATACCAAATTAATCGTAAAAAACCAAACAAGGAAATGTATTCAATATGGCCACATTGGAAAGAGGGGCAAGGAGATGCAGTGATTCCTTTGCGTGCCCTAGTCCAGTGTGTCTCAGCCTTCCTACTGTGGCAAGCCTTTAACACAGTTCCTCAAGCTGTGGTGATCCCCAACTGTAACATTATTTTCTTTGCTACTTCATAATTGCAGTTTTGGCACTGTTATGAATGTTATGTAAATGTTTTCCGATGGTCTTATGTGACCCTTGTGTGAAAGGGTGATTTTAACTCCAACAGGGGAGTTGGCACACAGGTCCTAGTCCATCTCAAGTAAGGGTAAGATTTAAATAGAGGGTAAGATATTTGCCTAACTAAGCAGTCCAGGCAAAATGTGATTCCCCTGCCTGTCACCGCCTTAGCTCCTAGTCTTTCCTGCAAGGTTACTAACAAACTGTAAATCTCTTACCAGGAAACAAGTTCCTCTTCTGCATGCCCTCGGGCCTTCACCAATTCCTTCCTCGCCCAGTTGAAAGTTCCTAGGGAAATTCTAATTTCTTGGGGTCCATTCTTTCAATAATCTGGCAACTAGAGAGGAAGCAAAAGTAAAGTATCTAAGCGTATGTTCACTGCTGCCAGACAGGTAAGTACAGAATACAGTGGTCATGCTCCACCCTGCATGCAATACCCTGACCGGGACTCCCAATCCACTGAGGCAGAGTAATGGCTACCTGCCATGGACACTTAAAAACAATTATTTTTTTATGTGTAAGAGTATTTGCCTTGGGCTGGAGAGATGGCTCAGTGGTGAAGAGCACTGACTGCTCTTCCAGAGGTCCTGAGTTCAATTCCCAGCAACCACATGGTGGCTCACAACCATCTGTAATGGGATCCAATGCCTTCTTCTGGTATGTCAGACACACCAGCAACAGTGTACTCATATAAAATAAATAATTTGAAAAAAAAAAAAAGAGTATTTGCCTGCATGTGCGTCTGTGTGCTGCATGCCTGCCTGGTGCCCTCGAGAGCGGCGGATACAATGGAGCTGGGCTTATGGAGAGTTGTGAGCCACCACATGGGCTCTGGGGACCAAACCTGGGGCTTCAGCAAGAGCCCCAAGTGCTCTGAACTGCTGAGTCATCTTTGAAGCCCATTCCACAAGGCATCTGCTTCCTCAGAATCTTTGCATAACTCCCCTAGCTAAGCCAGGTTGGTAAATATTTTTAATTATGATTTTACCATCACAGACTATATAACTCAAGTATTAAAGGTTTAAGGTAAAATAGTACATGGTTAAAAAAACAGGCGGGCTCCTGATTTCTAGCTAGATGGATCTTTACTTTCAGCTAAAGGTTGTGCTGATGGCAGTGCTTCTGGTGTTCAGAGTGAGGGAGGTCATGGGTGACAAAACAGAATGGCAGTGAGTTAGGGAAAGGAACTCACCGAAGGGTAGCCCTACTCTGGGTCTTGTAGGTGGTGGCACATCCTTCTAGAGAGAGAGAACAAGTGAAGCATGCTCCTGCCACTGGAAGCTGCCAGCTACAGATAGGCTGGCAGGAGTGTGTACTTCAACTGGACAGTCGTGAATACCACTGCCGAGGACTTGTCTTGACTCAATGCCTGCCCATTGCTGTCCTCCTTCCTCTATCATGAACTCCATGAAAGCAAGGCTACTGTCACCAAGCTCGGGCAATAGGTGCTCAGCAGAGGGCTGTCCTTCCTGTTCAGAGTTGTCTCTGCTCTGCTCTCTTCTATGTGTGTGCGTTAGATCTACCTCACCTCTCTCTTCGTTATTCGGTATCTTCAGTTTTTTAAAAACAAAAACTGGATGTGAGGGCGATCTGGCTGCGACATCTGTCACTCCATTGATCGCCAGGGTTGATTCGGCTGATCTGGCTGGCTAGGCGGGTGTCCTCTTCCTCCCTCACCGCTCCATGTGCGCTCGGTCGAAGAGGACCGAATAGAGGAGGACTGGTCTTCGGTCAACGGTATACGAGTAGCTGCGCTCCCCTGCTAGAACCTCCAAACAAGCTCTCACAGTCCATTAAAAACAAAAACTTCCTTACTTTTATTTGTGTGACATGAGGTAAGAGGACACATTGGTTCTCTCCTCCCATCATGTAGGTTCCAGGGATTTAACTCGGGTCTTCAGACTTGGCAATAATTGTATTTTTCAGTTGTTCCATCTCACTGACCCAATTCCCCACCCCATCCCCTTTTTTAAAAAACAGATTCTCATGTGTAGCCTTGGCTGGCCTGGAGCTTGAAGGCTGGCCTCTAACTCATAGAGATCCAGCTGCCTCTGCCTCCCGAGCGCTGGGATTAAAGGCGTGAACTACCATGCCCAGCTACATCAGTGGTTTTCTGTTTGGAAAAGGATAGAGATTAGGATTCAGTGCTAGGGTGCCCATGCAGGTTGGGATACTCATGTAGGAATGTGCATGCAGACATGGACAAAGGGTGGCCTTGCCTCAAAACTCCTAATCCTCATGCCTCAGGCTTCTGAGTGCTGGAAGAAGCACATGACCCACTACTTCCCAACTGGCACTTCTTGGCAGAGGATGCGGAAGCACAGAAATGAATAGTTAGCATGAGCTATACTTCCACGGTGGCCCCACATCCTGAGAAGGCCATGGAGCAAAGATTGACGAATGGGTGTGAAGACTTGTAAAAGATAGTGTTCTTTATATTTGTTATAGTAGGCACCTTTGAGGGGAGGTCAAAGGTATTGGCTAGTGTAGGGTAGAGGAAGGGGTACTCTTCCTCAAGAGGCTTTATGATGTCTTCTAGGACTAGCTCTCAGAATGCCAGGCTCTTATTTGTCTGCAGTGTTCTCAGAAATCTGAGCAAAGCTTCTGCAGCATGGACTCCAGGAAGAAGCATATGGATGAACTGGTGTGAGTGGAAGGAGCGGCCCACTGTCTCAGGCAGCCTCGGTCTGGCCTTAAGAGCCGGCCCAGGCAGTGGGGCGTTTGGAGAGTGCCAGGTTATCTTTAAATGGCACTTTACTCAGCCTGCAGCTCTGCCAGCTGGGCAGGGTGGGGGCAGACATGTTATTTTGAGATCTCAGAGTGAGTGGCGAAGGCTGTTTACAGCTCTCCTGTCTGTCCCCTCTCCTGGGAAGAGCTTGAGGCCAGAGCCTTGTCTCAAAACTCAGCGCTCCAGCTGGGGTTTGTTTGCAGCCATTCTAGCACAGATGGGAACTGTTGAATTCGGATGCACAGGAACTTTCTTAACACATTTAGGTGATGACAATTCCACTAGATTCGAGATCATACTAACAAGCTAAATCTAATACTGTCAGCCTCCCTTCAGAGTGCTTTGTATTGTATCAACTTTATTTAATTCTTACAGTCACCTGTGGTACAGATACCAACATACCTATTCTGTGGATTTGAAAATGTAGATAGAAAATTTTAAGTACAGCTTGCCCAAAATTAACAAGGCTGGCATGTGGACCTGCAAAGACTCAAAACCCAGCCTGGCTCCAGAGCCCACGCTGTGAACCAAACTATGTATGTGTCCTGCTCTGCCACTTCCAGACCGCCAGCTCAAAGCCACCTGAGCCCTCTGGTCTTGCTTCTCTCTTGTGGAAACTCAACCCTGTCTTTCTCTGATTTGGAGAGGGCTTAAGGTAACGCAAAGGTGTACGGTCACTGGCTTCTCTGCAGTTGCTAGCCAACCATCCAGTCAGGCACGAGGAGAGAAGCTGTCTAGGGAAATGAGAATTAAGAATCTGCAACTACACCGGGCGGTGGTGGCGCACGCCTTTAATCCCAGCACTTGGGAGGCAGAGGCAGGCGGATTTCTGAGTTTGAGGCCAGCCTGGTCTACAGAGTGAGTTCCAGGACAGCCAGGGCTACACAGAGAAACCCTGTCTCGAAAAAAACAAAACAAAAAAAACCTGCAACTACAAAGTCAGATGTAAAAAATGATTTTTTTTGTTTTTGTTTTTTTGAGACAGGGTTTCTCTGTGTAGCCCTGGCTGTCCTGGAACTCACTCTGTAGACCAGGCTGGCCTCAAACTCAGAAATCCGCCTGCCTCTGCCTCCCAAGTGCTGGGATTAAAGGCGTGCGCCACCACTGCCCAGCTTCTTTTTTCTTTTTGGGAATGAGTTTTCTTTGTACCCTTAGCTG